AAGCACATCAAGAGCAACGAAACTGACACATACAATGGTCAGCAATAATAAAGGTTATACGGATGCAGTAGAAAATTCGTACAACATTGAAAATGATGATGATAATAATGAGAATGAAACAGTAGTAAACGACGACGGTGATGAGAGTTGTGACACTGAATAATTTTTATTATTTGTATTTTTTTTTTTCGCAATAAAAATTACGTGAAAACGTTGATCGCGCCAAAAACTGAAAAGACCAGGCGCGGCTAGACGCAAAAGGAGACAATCGGCGAGAAAACTGCACGACTTGCGAGTTTTGGAAGGAGATCGTGACACGACAAATGTTAAATCTTTTTTTTGTTAGGATTTGTATCTTCCTGGTTTTAATATAACAAAGTTTACTTGCAAGAAAACCATGTCATTATATAAAATGTCAAGTAATCGAAATAAAATTTTCAAAGATTTGTTAATATTGTTAAAAAATAATAATAAAGGTTAAATTTTAGTTATTCAATTAAAATATTATCTTTCCTTTCCATTCCTTCTCATGTAAAAATTAGTTTATTAATTCTTTAAAATAATAATAATAATAATAATAATAATAATAATAATAATAATAATTTAATGAAGATGGGATACAGAGGCGAAAATACATTACCAATTTACCTAGTAATACTATTCCTGAATCTAAATTCAAACCCTTAGATGGTATAAGAGTATTAGAACTTGGGCAGGTAATCTTTATTAACTATTAATTATAGGAAGGGGAAAATAAACAAATATTCATATTTGTTCGCATTTATTTAGTTGATAGCTGGGCCATTTTGTGGAACTATTCTCGGGTGTGTATAACCAAATATATTGAATATTGGTTGATAATTAATGGTTGATTTAATGCTGATTTCATGTTGATTCTAATAAATTGAAGTTATTATGGTGCTGAAGTGGTAAGTAAAATTAATCATCAATATTAATATATAAATAATTAATATTATATTTATATGTCATAATAATTAAAAGAAAGAACCGACGAATGACTAATTTAATCTTCACTATAAATTTAATTTATTTATTTATTATCTTTTTATTTATCTTTTTATTTTTATTTCTTAAAGCTAAATTATTTTGAATTAGTTTTTTTCAATTGACATTTTGAAAATCTTTTCAAAAAAAATATTTCGTTTTTTTTTTAATTAATAAAGTATTAGAAATACAAAAACATCAAATTTTATATGAAAACGAACAAAGACCTAGGCTATCTAACGTTAAAATCTTATGTATTTCTATTATGTAGAATTTTGTGTAATTAATGAAAACATCATTCACAAATTTTTGTCCAGGTAGTGTATATACTTTATTTATTTAATAATCTATTTTATCGTGTAAACATCTTGTATATTATTATGATCATATATAATACACATTTAATTAAAGATAAAAAATTTTGTTTCATAAAGTTTTTCCAATAATTTGACTTTCTTGTAATTTTATAATTTCTTGTTCACTTAATTTCAATACATTTACAAATATTTCTTTGTTATGTTGACCTAAATCTGGACCTGCCCAATTAGTTTTACCAGGTGTAGATGTTAATTTTGGTGTAATTGCCGGAATCTTTGTATCGCAAATAAATAAATGAGATAATAAACATATTGCAATAATAATATAATCTATCAACAATATTCTCTCACCTTTAAATTCCAACCATTGTCAGAATTATTGCCACCAACTTTAACCACTTCCAATAATTCACGTTCCTTCACATGCTCATCATTCACAATATCCTTTATATTATAAATGCCACCACATGGTACACCAACCTGTTCCAAACTCTCAATTACTTGTTTTGATGTTAAAGTCTTTGTCCAATTATTTATTGCATCATCAATCAATTGTTGATGTTTAACTCTCTGTTTATTTGTGGCATACTTTTCACCTGTCAAATCTATTCTACCGGCTGCCTCCATAAGTCTTTTATAAATTGAGTCACCATTACCACCTATGATAACATATTTGGAATCAGAACATTGATATGCATTTGTTGAGCATCACTTGATAAAGATATTGTCTGACTTTCTACATCTATTGAAATTGATTTT